CTTTCAGCTCAAAAATAATTTTCATGAGGCTGGGTGAGGTGACTGACACCTCTAATAACAGCACTTCAGGAGGCTGAGGTGGGAGGATCCCTTGAGCCCATGGGTTCGAGACCAGCTTGAACAACATAGTAAAAAAATTAGCTGGGTATGGTGATGTGCACCTGTAGTTCCAGCTACTTGGGCGGCTGAGATAGGAGGATTACTTGAACCCAGGAATTTGAGGTGGTAGTCAGAGATGATGACACCACCCCCCCAGCCTCTGCAACAAGGCAAGACCTTGTCTCAAAAAAACCAAAAATAATAATTTTATGTCAGAGAGGCATATTTTGGGGTGACATATTCTGGTTTCCTTAATAGCTTACCTTCAAAAATAAGATTGTTAGAGCTGAAAGGGACCTTATTGATATTCTTAGCTAATATGTTTATTTTATAAATGGAGAAGAAGTTAAGGCTTTCAAAGGTAAAGTGACATGCCCAAAGTAACTAAGGCAGCTCTAGGGGCCTGATAGAAGATTAATGATTTAAAATACAATGATACAATAAAATACAAATAAATAAAATACAAAAATGATACAATAAAATACAAAATACCAATGATTTAAAAATACATAGTATTAGACCTTTTATTTCATTCATTCACTAAAAATTTAGTGGAGCCGTTTGGTAGGCATTTGGTTTTCTATATTAAGTAGCCCAGTCATTTGACACAGATTGAAATTAAAAAAAAAGAATAGCATCCACTCATTAGAATTTGAAATTAGGCCTTTCTAGTAACCTGGGTTAGGTGGTAACAAAGCTGTTATATTTTGTGCTAAGTTATTTTTTAAAATTAAAAAAAATTGTAAAATATATATAACATATCTCCCTGGATATAGCACCAGAAACAAAATATATATATATAACATAAAATTTGCCATTTTAACCATTTTTAAGTGTGCAGTTCAGTGGCATTAAATTCATTTACACTGTTATGCAACCATCATTGACATTCATCCACAGAACATTTTTCATCTTATAAAACTGTAACTGTACACCCATTAAACAATAACTTCCCATTTCTCCCTCACCCCAGGCCCTGGTAAACGCCATTCTACCACCATTTATTGATATGAATCTGACTACTCTAGATTAGGTGTGAATATCTTTAAGATGAGAGTGTGTGGGGCACTAGAATCATAGATGCAAATAATTTTAATTGGCATATTTTAATTTTTAAGGAGCCCCTTTCCTCTCTAGGATCATATAGTTGTTATAGTTAATATTTCATATTTTCACAGGTGATTAGTAAGCTTCTATAAAAAAATAATTTTATGACCTGAGAAGTTAGGGGCTAATTTTACCCTGGTTACATACCAATGTCCTATTACAGTAATTATAATCCTTTGTTACATTTGAGAAAAAAGCCCTTTTATGTATCCCATGCCACTAAGAAGAACAGAATGAAGGATGCTTTACTCAGAAAATTTAAAAATATCTAATGATACTTTTTTTTACAGTAATCATGTTTTCATATATTTTCATATTTAGAAAAACAAAACAAAAAACTCCTAGAAAATATATTTTAAAGAAAGAATACTGTTTTGGTACAAAAGCAGCACTACATTTCTTATCCTAACATAGGATGTAATGATGTAGATTTTTAGAAAAATAATTATGCCTGTACTACAACTCCATTTAGTAAATTATAGAAAATAGGGGTCTTAAAATAATATATGTAGAAGTTTCAAAAAAAGAGGAAACTACATAGTGTTCCTACCCACTGTTTACCTTTCCCCAGGAAAGACTAAGGAAGCTATATTTAATACACTTGAGGCAAAGACATATAGGAAACAGAATATCAGATATAGAAAAAAACAGATGCCATCAAATGTTGAGTTTCTCAAACTTAAGTATGCAACAGAATCTTCTGGGAAGATTCTGGGAATCTTCTGGGAAAGTTTTTTTCTTCTTTTTCTTTTTATTAACAAATAGTTTAGTGAAATATTATAAAGAGAAACATTCTTGTAACTACCCCAGGCTGCTTTTGGCAGCCATCCCAAAAGTACTTCCGAGCACCCTATCACTCCCTCCAAAGTAAGCACTCTCCTGACTTTCATAGCTATGAAAATGAATAAAAGGCTAAAAGAGGGAATAGTGGTAAGGGCCTGAACTCTGCAATGGTATAGGCATCCTTTAAAAAAATATGTCTGTATATAAATATAACCAGCCATTTTTCCCTAGCATGCTTTCCTATAATCACTTACGACTCAAGAGTCACATAGCTTAGGGTCATGAAGATTCTTAGCTTTCTTCATTTCTCCCATAGATAACATTATCCCTATGAAACCTAAGGCTGGGCTTTGAGATATCTTCCAAACCCTACATTTTGATTTTTTTTTTTTTTTTTTTTTTGCTGTGTGATCGGTATCTGAGTAAACCCTACATTTTGGTAGACCAACTGACCCAACCAGGCCAGTGGCCAAAGGAATCAACTCAGCTGGTCTTGCCACCTGGGAACTGACTCAGCATAAGAAGACAATATCTGCATCCTGATCCTGTGAGTTCATCCCCAGCCAATCAGCAGACACAATTGCTTAGCCCTTTGCCTGCTAAACTATCCTTAAAAACCCTTTCTCTCAAATTCTTGGGGTGATGAATTTGAGAAATTCCTCATCTCCTCGAACGGTGCCTATGATATTAAATTATTTGTCTGCTATAACTCCTGTTGTCTCAGTATATTGGCTTCCTCTCTTTTTTTTTGGAGGGGGCGGGGGACAGAGTCTTGCTCTGTCACCCAGGCTAGAGTGCCGTACAGTCAGCCTGGCTCACAGCAACCCCAAACTCTTGGGCTTTAATGATCCACCTGCCTCAGCCTCCTCAGTAGCTGGGACTACAAGCCCACACCACCACACCCAACTAAATTTTTTTCTATTTTCAGTAGAGCCTGGGTCTCACTCTTGCTCAGGTGGGGCTTGAACTCCTGACCTCAAGCAATCCTTCCAACTTAGCCTCCCAGAGTGCTAGGATTACAAGCATGCACCCGGGCCCCCCAGCTTGATTCTTGAGTCAGTTAAATTCTTTAGTTAAAAAAGCTGATTAATAAGGAAACTTAAAATTCAATTATTTTTCAGTAAGCAATGTTTTCATTTGTTAAATAGAAATAAACCAGGATCTTTAAATGAAATCCTTACCAGTGAATTTCTATCCCAGCAAGCCTTTAAGAATTCCTGCCTTTCAGTCATTCCTGCCATGTAAAACACTCCCTTCCTCTTCGCCCAATACCCCTTAGTACCTGATGCCTTATATCTACCTCAGCACTGGCCTCATAGTAATTAAGATGGCTCAACTCATGAGGCAGGAGACTGCTGTAGTGATTGGGTGAATTGGGCTAGTCCCTTTTCTTTATTGACTTCATTCTTTTTTTTTTTTTTTTTTGAGATTGTTGCCCAGGCTAGAGTGAGTGCCGTGGCGTCAGCCTAGCTCACAGCAACCTCAAACTCCTGGGCTCGAGCGATCCTTCTGCCTCAGCCTCCCTGGTAGCTGGGACTACAGGCATGTGCCACCATGCCCGGCTAATTTTTTTTTTTTTATATATATATCAGTTGGCCAATTGATTTCTTTCTATTTATAGTAGAGACGGGGGTCTCGCTCTTGCTCAGGCTGGTTTTGAACTCCTGACCTTGAGCAATCAGCCCGCCTCGGCCTCCCAAGAGCTAGGATTACAGGCGTGAGCCACAGCGCCCGGCCTGACTTCATTCTTTAGTGGGATGGGCATAGGAGTTGGGGGCAGCGGTGGGTGGGTGTAAACTTTTATTTCCACAGCCTTTTAGGAATTGGAACATTCTTGCATCTTTTTGCCTGCTTAGAGTGCTGGGCTGAATTTTGTTAACTCTTGTGATTAAATCATCATTAAAGTTCACACATTCATTTAAAAATTATTCAAATATGTACATTATGGTTATTAAAATAAGATAAAATTTCTAAACTGACGGGCTCTTTTAAAGGACTTCAGAAGTTATCAGGCTAAAAATGCCAGCCATCGAGTTCATTGGCACAAGGCTAGTTCCTTAAATACCGTGATAAAGGTTAATTGAACCTTTATTGCAGTTTAAATTGCAGTGTAAAGCCACCTATGTTTTTTCATCTCAGCATTTTATCTTTAAAAAAACTAAACAAAACAAAACTGAGGTCTAGTCCCGCCCGGGCGGCTCACGCCTGTAATCCTAGCACTCTGGGAGGCCAAAGCGGGCAGATCGCTCAAGGTCAGGAGTTCAAAACCAGCCTGAGCAAGAGCAAGACCTGGTCTCTATTAAGAATAGAAAGAAATTAACTGGCCAACTAAAAATATATAGAAAAAATTAGCTGGGCATGGTGGTGCATGCCTGTAGTTCCAGCTACTCGGGAGGCTGAGGCAGTAGGATTGCTTGAGTCCAGGAGTTTGAGGTTGCTGTGAGCTAGGCTGAAGCCACGGCACTCTAGCCCAGGCAACAGAGTGAGTTGAGACTCTCTGGGGGCGAAAAATGATGAGCTTTAATGTAAAAAAGAAATCCTCTATTACTATGCCCTTTTTTTTTTTTGGTCAGCTGACCTAATCTGTTTATTTCTACCACAAACGCTAGACTAATAGCTAGGCTATTATCAAGTAACTGTGCCATCTTAAAATCTGTTTCTGAGTTTGAGGAAGCTCCTTGAAGACAAATAGGTAGCAGAGGTATGTATGCTGTGAGGATGTAATACTGCAAAAACAGTAACCTTTTGTTTTCATAATCTCTGGGGTCACCTCGCGAAATCCAGTAAACTAAAAGGATCCCTAACATTTTTCTCCTTTTTGTCAACCTAGTCTTCAAAGTCAACAAAACTAAAACTACGCACCCAGTTTTACTTCCCCAGAGGGGCAGAGACCAACAAACACCCTCTGCTTAACAAGCGCTCGAGGCGACAGGCTGCAGAGAAAACAAGCCCCAGGAAGTGATTTCCGAGTGAAGGTGGGAGGGACGGCTGATTTCCGGTCCAAGGGCAAGAGACGGCTCTTGCGCAATCGCAGTTCGAGCTTTGCTGTTTTTTTTTTTTCCCTCTCCCCTCCCCCTTCCCTCCCCCAAGCCTGAGGGGTCTTGAGGTGACAGCGCCCGCAACTGCGACTCCAGCAGGAGGAGAAGATGGACAAGAGGAAGCTCGGGCGACGGCGATCTTCGTCCGGTGAGAAGGGGTCGGAGGAGGACTGAGCATATTGTCTCCTGCCCCGGACAAATGGGAGGCGCAGGCGGAGGTTGGGGTTGCTCGCGGCTTGCAGCCGCCCGGGCGAGGGTGAGGGCGGGGGCTGGGGAGGAGGGGGCGCGCACAATGGAAGGCTCCAGGCCGCCCCCGCCCCTCGAGTCGAAGACGCAGTCCAAGCTGTCATCGAAGCTTCGGCCGCTCTTCACCTCGACACCCCTTTCATTTTTTCCCTCCTCCTGCGAACACCCTCCTTGAGTCTCATCGGCCCACGGATCTTCCCGGTTGGCTTGCCACTCTCCTGCCACGCCTTCCTCGTAATTCCACCAATGTTCCAGTTTCATTTCCAGCTTCTCTGCGTCTGACCCCACTTTCCTTTATTCCTTTGATTCTCGACTTTGTCTCCCTTCCCCTCTCTCCCTCCCTGGCAGGTAGTAGCTGCAGCTCAGGAAGAAAGTTGGGGCTTGGTAACTGACACTTTCCTCAGATAAAAGCCTCACTGTGTCTGCTTCTGAACAGGCCGGCTTAATAGCCTTTTTCTTTTCCAGCCTCCGCCTGCATCTTCCAAAAGTGATTGCAGAGTCGAACAAAGGATTCGAAGCCGTGCTTTCGTTGTGTTTTTTTCTCAGCATATTTTTGTTTTTGAAATTGCTTTAAGCTTTAAATGATCATCTTCAGTTTTGTGTACTACGTCCTGGAAATCGAAAGTGGAGTTACAAGATGTGAGGTAGAACTCCTCCCAGTCAACAAGTTTTTGTCAAACATTTCATCCATTAAGGGTACCAGAAGGCCTTGTGTTAAGACCTGTAGAGGAGAAGGAAGACTTTGTTAAGCTTACAGTCCAGTACACAAACTAGCACTCAGTGAATCATTTATTTCATTTCATTTTTTTTTATTTGTTATGATACCGTTTATTTTTATGGAGACAGTGTTAATTCTAAATTTATTTTGGATTGGCATGTGCTGGTGCATCTCAAACTTTTTGCATTTTGTGGTCTTAACTGCTCTGATCTCTGGGGACATTGCCTGAAGCAGTTGAAAACCTGAAATCCCTTTTCATGTGCAACTAATATTATCCCTTTTTTTGTGTATTCTAGAGATAGTAGATTTTTTTTTAAAGTATGTGTGATATATATGTATATTTATGCATATAAGTATGTATATGCCTCCAATAGGTCAGGGTTTGTTTTAATAGCTTCCCCCTCACCTCCAAAATCTTTATGTAAAATTGACACGTTAGAAAAATGCACAGTGTTTATCTCGTATCATTCACATGCTTCCTAATACAGAACTTTTAGGTGTAATAATACTTCAGTTTGCGATGCACAGCCTTTTTTCAATAAATACATTTCATCTTGGCTTAATACATTTTTGAGGGGGCAGGGCAAGATATTAGCCTTGTATTTCAGAAATCCCATCTCCTTTACCTGATTATATTTCCATTTATTAATTACAGTTAATTTGATGCTAGCAGTTATAGGAAGTGAATTTAGAGAATAAAGCTGCTAATCCTTAAAAGGCATTGAGATTTATGTTAGTTATGTATCTAGGGAGGTTTTTTTTTTGTTTACTCTGATGACCTCCCTTTTAGAGCTGTTTTTTCTGAAAAGTGACATAGTAAAAACTATTCCCAAATCTAATGTTACCCAGCTATTCTCCAGTGTGCCTCTAGCTTTAAGGTATGAACATTAATTTTTAAGAATGCTGCTGCCTTTCTTAATAGTGTATGTTTAATTTTCCCATAAAAATTCTCAGAAATAAAACATGATCAGTTGGTTGAAAGATTCTGTGGATTCTGTCTAATGGTTATATGCATGCAGTTGCCATTTCATTAGGAGTTGTTGCTAACTGAAACCCAAATGAAGTAACATTCATAGTCATCAAAATTTCATAAGTACATAAGGAAGAATTTGATTAATAAAATAGTTATAATTTGAAGAGGTAGAAGGAAGGTAGGTAGCAGTAGAAAGAGAAAACAAGATACAAAATTTGAAGTTTTGTTTGACACTACACCAGGCTGCCCTAAATTTTCTCCTAAATAAGGAAGAACCACAGATGTTTACATAGTATATTGCTTGGGACTTTTTCAGTTGCAAGTAGCAGAAAATAATTCCAACTAGTTTAAACTCAAAACAAGCATTTGTAACTTGAATAGCTGATAAGTGTCACATCAAAAGCAGTAAATTAGATGGAGATACAGATAAAAAAAGACTGGCACCACAGTTTCACTAATAGTTGAATGAAATAATAAAGTACATGGTGAGCAAGGGAGAATGACCATTAAAAATGATTAACAACAAAAATATAACTTAGATATATTAGGGTCTTAGATCACAACTTTCAAGTGAATTTTTGAATCAAAACAGGAAAGTTCAAGCAACCAGTTTTCGACTGTTTACTTCAGGTAACATCCTTGGAGATCTGGTGTCACTTTCATTTGCATTTAAGAATATGTTTTTTTTTTTGGAGACAGGGTCTCACTTTGTTGCCCAGGCTAGAGTGAGTGCCGTGGCGTCAGCTTAGCTCACAGCAACCTCAAACTCCTGGGCTCAAGCGATCCTCTTGCCTCAGCCTCCCAAGTAGCTGGGACTACAGGCATGCACCACCATGCCCGGCTAATTTTTTGTATATATATTTTTAGTTGGTCAATTAATTTATTTCTATTTTTAGTAGAGACGGGGTCTCGCTCAGGCTGGTTTCAAACTCCCAACCTCGAGCAATCCGTCCGCCTCGGCCTCCCAGAGAAGAATATGTTTTTTGAGTAATGAGGTCTAGACACTGTGTTAAGAACTTTACAAACTTTAATATTTCCAAAGGCCTCATAAGGTGGTTATTATTTCTGATTTATAGGTGAGAAACTGGAATTTAGGGAGAATAAACAATTGTTAGCAATAGCTAGTGAGAAACAGTGCCAGGATTCAAAATCTGGTCTTTCTAATTACAAAATCTATAGTTTTAATATCATTTAGTATCATAGTAAATGAACCTTACTTATAAAAAAAAGATTTCATGGACAAATAAGTGTGATAACTGTAGTTAGAAAATTTTCTTTAAGATTTTTCAGAAACTTTGACATATTATTGTACATTGTGCCTCTTCAAGAGGATGAATATGTGCTGTTTCTCAAAATTGTTTTGATTTCAAAACTTCTCCTTCCCTAGTTTCATCTTGAGGGAGTCAGTGTCCAATGATGACATACCTTTCTTACATCTTTTGGTAGTCCAGATGATGTTTGCTTTGCACTGGAAATATAATGAGCCATAATTGAGGCTCAAAATGAGAATCTACAATTAATCATGATAAAGCTGCATTATTTGCAGCTTTGCAGGGGTATTAGCTAAAGTCATTAGAATGAATGGAATTGTCCACAGAAATAGTATAGAGTGAGAAAAGTCTTAAATGACATACAAGTAATTTCAAAGTAGGGAGGAAGAGACATTTGTAAGCAGTTAGATAGGCAGACAAAGAATGTGATAGGTTTGGGAAGAAGAGGAGAGTGCAAAACAATGTGAATGTTTCAGAAAGTTAAGTAGTGTGGGGATGTTGGATTTGGCAATTATGAGGTCACTTTCACGAGTGGTGGAAAAAAATTAGTTTAGTTTTACTTAGAGTTAAAGGGTGTGCCACGATGGCGGAGGGTGCAAAGAATCGATTCAGTGGGAGTGATGAAGACAAGGGTTCACAGGACAGTATGTTGTGGAATGAGAGGTTCACATTTGGAAAATCAAGAGGTAGGACAGTTTTCCTTAAATACATTCATGAATGTATACTGCTGAAATGGGGATGTGTAGAAGTTTGTTGGAGTAAATTAAGATGAGTCTGTTGTGTTGAGTGTTGATTAATGGAACTTTTAGTGCTTCGAATGATGGTAATTTTTTCTTTTTGGGATGATAAATTTTAATGATAGGAAAAGTATGAACCAAGTATCAGTGTATTCTTGGAATGTTGGAGAGGATATTGGGTCAGTAGATGGCAATCACAGAGATGGGCAAGAAAGTATATCCAATTTATGGGTATTTTACAGGAGGAATTATTGCAATAAATTGAATATTGCATATTGAATTGCAAATTGAATATTAATTGAAAATGGTGGTGGTGGTGGGGAGAGATTGTTAATCTCTGCTTCTGCTTTGTAAGCAGCAGAATCTTAACAAAGTATTGTAGCCAATAAAAGGCTAGGATTCAGTTAACCTAAGGTGGAATAAATGTTCAAAGAAAATACTAAGGAAATTGTATTGACTTTGGAAAGAAATTTAGTGGACTAGGAAAGAGATGGAAAAGATGTAGATGAGAAGATAGAATTGAATTACATAAAGTGAGAGAATAGCAAGATAATAGGCTGTCAGGATTGGCATCTTGGGTGGTGAATGTGATTCCCAGGCCTGATGATGTAAGAGAAGGCAGAGGATTGAAAAGTAGATTAGAAGGCCTTGGTGACATAGAGAATGGGTTATGGATAAGATCTAGACTGTAACTTTTTTTTTTTTTTTTTTTCACACAAACCAGCTCCTGAATAGACTGTAACTTTATTATAGTGATGCTGTCTTAAATCTGCCTGCCAAATGGATAACTCTAATTTGAGTTTTCAATAATTTATGAATCTCACTGATGTGGGCTGCTTCATCCTAGTTGTGCCTGCTTGTATTGGTAACTCACTCCTGGGTTGCACCTGGCACTGAAATTTTCTTCCACTCATTTGTGCCTATCTAAAACTTACTCATTCTTCAAAGCCCAGTTCAGTTGTGCCCTTCCAAAAACCATCTAATTAACTCAAACTTAAAAGCACTTAGCATAGTACCTGGCAATAGTAATTATTATTTCAAATACATTTTTATGCAATAAATAAGTAGATGAATGATTATACAAGGTACTTGGGAAAAGTTATGCTTTTTAAAAATTTTATTTTTATTTTTTAAGGTTAGTCTAGTGAAGGAGTGGGAGTAGAGAAGGAACAAAGGAATCTGTAACTGGTTGTGATCAATTAGTTGTAAATACCACTGCACTTGGACCAGCCAAATTATACATTTAATTTTTCGACTCATATATTTCAGATGAGAGTAGAGAAATTACTATATGCTAATACTAACACACTGTAGTCTTTTTTTTTTTTGAGACAGAGTCTCACTTTGTTGCCTGGGCTAGAGTGCCTTGGTGTCAGCCTAGCTCACAGCAACCTCAAACTCCTGAGCTCAAGCAATCCTACTGCCTCAGCCTCCTGCATAGCTGGGACTACAGGCATATGCCACCATGCCCGGCTACATTCTTCTATATATTTTTAATTGTTAAGGTAATTTCTTTCTATTTTTAGTAGAGACGGGGGTCTCACTCTTGCTCAGGCTGGTTTGAACTCCTGACCTCCAGCAATCCTCCCACCTTGGCCTCCCAGAGTGCTAGGATTACAGGTGTGAGCCACCGTGCCCAGCCCACACTGTAGTTTTAAAAGAGAGATGCTTTCATATAAAATATTGTAAATATTTATTTTTCTTTAACTGTATGCTAGACATAATGTTACATACTTTAATATAGACTTTAATCTTAACAATTGAAAAGGTCAATATTCTCCCTGTTTTACAGATCAGAAAACTAAGGCTCAGAGAAGTCACAGCTAGTAAACCAAGATACAAATTTAGGTCATCTAGGTTTAAAATCTACACTCTTGAGCACTGTGCTATACCAGACAGTTTCAAGTTGAGTCACATAACATGATTATTAAAACATTCCTAAACTGATCTGATATGAGATAGAGCAACTGAATTATAAAAACTTCTACAATTTGGGGAATTCACAATAGTATTAATTAAAGGAAATAGGAGAATGTGCTGCAAAACAGGATAGCAGCAGTTTTAGTCCAATGAGATAGTTTGGGAATATTCATTTGTAAATTACAGTTTAAGCAAGTAATATTCCTTTTGAAAATGATAACATATTTTGTTAAATTTAAAATTGACTATTGTAGAATGTGAATTTTTACAAGGTAAAGAGTTTCTTAACATTTATTTAAAAATTATTTTTGATAGTCTACTTAAGGAACATTACTTTATTGCTATTATTTAAAATTATCAAAAGTTTAAGTATAGAAGTTAAAATAATTTTTTACATCAGTGTTTGCTCAGGAAATATATTTAGTGAAACTAATTCTATGTATTATGAACTTAGAAGAAATCATTCCAGCAATATCGTTTCTGTATTGATAGGCTGTATTCCATTGGTTATAATGGTTATTTCTTATGTTATCTTAAGTACAGTATAGTATGCATGTCTTTAGTGTATAGTTAGATGACTTTTTATACTTGTACATGTATACGTGTATAACTGTCACCTACATTAAGGTATAGAACATTTCTAGCATCTCAGAAACCTTTACTTGTATCCCCTCCCAGTCAATATTCTATCTCTCCCCACGTACCCCTCACTGTTCTGACTGGTATCACCATAGATTTGTTTTAACTGTTCTTTAATTTCACATAAATGGAATTATATATTCTTCTGCATCTCGTTTCCTTTGAACATGCATGTGAGATGTGTCCATGTTGTGCATAGCCATAACTCACTGTTGTGTTGTTTTCCATTGTTTGAATATGTTTATCCATGCTCCTGTTGATGAATATTTGGATTGTTTTCAGTATTTGGCTATTAAGAACAAAGATAACTTGAACATTCTGATTTCTCTTGTTTATCTAGAATTGTAATTGTTGGACATTGAGTAGGCAGGTGTCTAACTTTCATAGATACGTGCAAAGTAGATGTACTCATTTATACTCTTATCAGCAGTATATGAGTTCCAGTTTCTCATCAACACTTGGTATTGTCAGACTTTTTAATTTTACCCATCCCAAGGGCTGTGTAATGGTATTCCATTGCCATTTTAATTTGCATTTCCTTAATAATTAAGTTGAGCACCGGTTCATATGTTTATTGGCCATTTGGATATTCCGTTTGTGAGGTACCTATTGAAAGTTTTTGTCCATTTTGAAGATTGGGTTATGCTACCTTTGCTTTGAAGGAGTTCGTCATATATTCCAGTTATAAGTTCTTTGATAAATACATTTATTATAAATATCTTTCTTCATATATTCCAGTTATAAGTTCTTTGATAAATATATTTATTATAAATATCTTTCTTCCAATCTGTGGCTTATCTTTTCTCACTCTTTTTTTTTTTTTATTTTATTTTTTTTATAGAGACGGGGTCTCGCTCTTGCTCAGGCTGGTTTTGAACTCCTGACCTTGAGCAATCCGCCCGCCTCGGCCTCCCAAGAGCTAGGATTACAGGCGTGAGCCACAGCGCCCGGCCCTCTTTTCTCACTCTTAATGATGAGTTTTGATGAACAGAAGTTCCTAAGTTTAATAAAGTACAGTTTATTAATCTTTTCATACTTGTGTCCTGTTTGAGAAATCTTTGCCTACCCCAAGGTCATGAAGATATTCTACTTTTTATTCTAGAAGGTTTATTTGTTTTATATTTGACATTTAAATCTATGATCTATTTCAAATTAATTTTGTATATGGTATAAGGTAGAGGTCGAGGTTAATTTTTTTTCCCCATTTGTTTATCAGACTGCTTCAGCATTATTTGAAAAAAATCATCCCTTTCCCACTGAACTGCATTGGTGTATTTGTCATAAGTAGTGACCATACACATGGGTCTCTACCATTTATTTTTATTATGAAATCTGTGATATATTGTAGTAAACTATAAGTTCCAGGAAAGCTTAGATTTTGTCTAATTTGGTTACTACAGTCACTGCCTAGCACAGTGCTAGGCACATGATAGACATTCACTGAATACTTGCTGACTACAAGAAAGAATTAGTAAAAGAAAAATCCACAGGAAGTATGAAAAATGTTGAGTAAAATGTTAAGCTGTTCCTAGTCGCACAGCATGCTTAGATATGTAGTAGAACTGGAAGTGTTTTTCTTTTTGAAACAAGGTCTCACTCTGTCTCCCAGGCTGGATGCAGTAGCATCATTGTAGCTCACTGCAACCTCAAATTCCTGGGCTCAAGTGGTTCTCTCTCCTCAGCCTCCTGAGTAGCGTGCCACCATGCCCAACTAATTTTTCTATTTTTTGTAGAGACAATGTCTATGTTTCTCAGGCTGGTCTTGAACTCCTGACCTCAAGTGATGCCTGGGCCTACAAAGTGTTGGGACTACAGGCATGAACTCACCTCACCAGGCCCTGGAAGTGTTTTTGTAGAATATCTCCAACTTCTAGATTTCTTCTGTTCCTTCCTCCCTGCCATCATAAGAATTTGTCCTATCTGAAGGTTCTACTACTGAGTGCAAGGTCTTTTGTTGGGGAATTTCTGTTTAGTTCTTAGAGCCAGTTACCCTCCTTTTTTCTTTTATTGTCATCTTTCATATATTTACTGGAGATATTTTGTGAGACTCTGCTGTTCTTCTGACATATGGAATTATTTTTTTACCTTTATGTTTAGCCCTTCAGTTTCTATAAAATGTTAATCAGTGTAAATTCTAAAACCAATAAGAGGTGACTTTAAAACAATGAATGGATGTGAAAAGGTCTCTTTGATTAAATTGTTTATCTCATTTAGATGTTAAATTATAATTCTTGCCATGTTTTTGGTTTTTGTAGAAATTGTGACAGAAGGAAAAAGGAAAAAGTCTTCATCTTCTGACTTATCAGAGGTATGCATTAATTTTGCTTTTAACCTATTCATTATCTTTCAAGTTACTGATTTGCAAGTATTTTTCTGTTTATCTTTTTAATAAAAATTTAAAGAAAATACTGTAAAACTTTAATCACTGTTTTGGGAGAATGGTGTATTCTAATTCACTGAAGTTTAACCAGGAAACCCTTTCTGGGACCAGCCTTGTTTAAATCATTGTAAGATGACCAGTATACTTTCCAGGCCCCATTTTATATTTTATTTAAAACATAACTCAGCATTTCTTTGATGACTGAATATATTATAATGTCTCATGTTCATTCTTTAATAATAGTATAGATGGAGAAGAGTTGCCATCAAGGCATGTGCTAAAAATTACTATTTGGAATATATACTTTTAAACCTATTTTTTTTTTTCATTTATTTATTTCTTCTATATAAGTCAGAATAGCAAAACAAGAAAAATAAATTTTCTACTTAGGTATGGGAAATGTTTTAAAAAATTCATTCTTGGCTGGTGTGGTGGCTCATGCCTATAATCCTAGCACTCTGGGAGGCCGAGGTGGGAGGATTGCTTGAGTTCAGGAGTTTAAGACCAGCCTGAGCAACAGTCAGACCCTGTCTCCACTATAAATAGAAAGAAATTAACTGAACAACTAAAAATTAGAAAATATTAGCTGGGTGTGGTGGCATGTGCCTGTAGTCCTTCCTAGCTACTTGGGAGGCTGAGGCAGGAGGATCTCTTGAGCCCAGGAGTTTGAGGTTGCTGTGAGCTAGGCTGATGCCACGGCACTCTAGCCCAGGCAACAGAGTGAGACCCTGTCTCAAAAAAAGAAAAAAAAAATTCATTCATTTTTAGAAAGATAACCTTTTTTCCTCTAGAATTTTGTGATTTAAATGCAGTAATAATCTACTTTACATTATAATAATTTATTAGACCCTTTTCTCTGAAGCATGCTTAGTTATACACAGAGAACTTTAATTTGGTACATTTTTATGTTATACAGTTGTAACACTTAAAGAGGAAGAAGTAGTAAGAATGGAAGGTAGTGAGAGGAAATCAAGAGTACTTTAGAAGACCACATAGAGAGCATGGCTTTAGGTACTATTATTCTTCCTTGACTGACTTAAAATTTGGATGATGTGGTTTCTCCTACTACATCAGCCTCCCGAGTGGCTAGGACTACAGGAATGCGCCACCATGCCCAGCTAATTTTTTTTCTCTATATATTTGTTGGCCAATTTATTTCTTTCTATTTATAGTAGAGACGGGTTCCCGCTCTTGCTCAGGCTGGTTTCGAACTCCTGACCTCGAGCAATCCGCCTGCCTCAGCCTCCCAGAGTGCTAGGATTACAGGCGTGAGCCACCACGCCCAGCCCAAGATGCTCCTTTTAATACAGAATAGCAATAGAAATAATTTTATGAATTGTTACTTCTTATATTTGATACAGTGCTTATTATATATTTTGTAGGCTGAACTTGAAGCTTAATCATTTATAACTTTAGTGTGAAAGGTAGATTTTCACTTTAGTGTGAAAGGTAGATTTAAGTTCTGAAAAACTGATTTCAAACTTGTAGTTACGATCTATGCATTCATTATTTGTTTACTCAGCCTCACATTTTGGTGAGTAAGATAAGGATTTCTTTTTAAGGAGCTCTACAGTCTGGAGACGAAGACAGACATATAGACAAATAACTATAGTATTAGATAATATGTATAATGTAAATTAATGTAATATAAATGTACCAAATACTAATACCCAGAGAAAGAAATGACATGGCATTGGGGTGATGGTTATGTGGATAAAAGAAGAATTTTGAGAACCTGTAGTACTTCACAAGGGAGAAAAAGAGGGAAGGGCATTCTAGATTGAGGGAGCAGTATATAAAAGGTCTAGAGATATAAAATAATATGACATGTTTGAAGAAGGTTGAATAACTCAATGTGGTCAAGTTATAGAGTTTTTGATGTGCAGGTGATGTGAAAGAGCCCACATTGTAAAGACTTTTACCCATAAATAATGGGTGCCATTGTTGTATTTTAAGTATTGGAGCCATAATTAGATTTATGTGTTAGAGAAGTCTGGGGCTTGCATTTGAAAGATTAGAAGAAGAGACTGCAGGCAAGAGAATAGTTGAGAAACTGTCGTGATTCTTCATTTATCTATTTTTGTACTCAATGAGAGGTGTTTTATAGAATTATATTTATTAATAATTGTGTGTAAATTAAGAACTGAATTTAAAACTCTTTAAAAACTGTTAGAAAATATAAGGCAGGGTAATATAATGGTTCTGCTAGCTGATTCAGCTGTTATACATAGTTTGATTAAACTGATTATTTTTTCATCCTAGTTTCAGATAAGAAAGATGTTAAATGCAAAACCAGAAAATGTTCACCTTCAATCATCACTGTCCAAATTCAGAAGCTCAGAACGCTGGGATATCCCTTTGCAAGGGGTAAATAAAATTAATATCTTTTAAGTATATAGTTTTATTTGATTGTTTAAAATATTTTAGTAAATCTGAATTTTTATTTTCATGTATGTGAGTCCTGTTTTTTGGTTTTCTTGTGTTAATTGCAGATTTTAAGTTAGTTTATTTTTGATGTATATGTCAAAGCATATATGTCAAAGCATCGTTTCAGCATATTTCAAGTTGAAATGATGCTTTGAGGTTATGGTGTTCTTCAGTTGAAATCTAAGTATACATTTATTATTCGTGGTTAATTTCTCCATGAAATTTAAATCTCATTATTATAAAATAAATTCCATTTTAAGTTTACTAAAATTTTAAGCTTGGTAGAATAATCTGTTTGCTTTTTACTTGTTTTTTAAGTTTGAGAGAGTATCTTTTAATGGTTAATAACTATATTTTCAAAGATATTCTGATCTTAAATCTGGATGATTTTAAATGTGGACTTTCTTTTTTTTTTTTTTGAGACTGAGTCTTACTGTGTTGCCCAGGCTAGAGTGCCGTGGCATTAGCCTAGCTCACAGCAACCTCGAACTCTTGGACTCAAGCAATCCTCCTGCCTCAGCCTCCTGAGTAGCGGGATGACACCATGCGCCACCATGCCTAGCTAATTTTTCTATGTATTTTTAGTTGGCCAATAATTTTTTCTATTTTTATTAGAGATTGGGTCTTGATCTTGCTCAGGCTGGTTTCCAACTCCTGACCTTGAGCTCTGTCCGCCTTGGCCTCCCAGAGTGCTAGGATTACAGGCTGAGCCTGTAGGGAAGGGAGGCGAAGGTATTGCTCTGATGCCTGGGCCGAGTGTCATAGCATCAGCCTACGCTCATAGGATCTCAAACTACAGGCTCAAGCAATCCTCCTGCCTCAGTCCCTGAGTAGCTGGGATTACAGGTGTGTACCACCATGCTGGCTAACTTTTTAAAATTTTACAGAAATAGAATCTTGCCATTGCCCAGGTGGTCTGAAACTTCTGACCTAAAGTGATCCTCCTGCTTTGGCTCCCAGAGTGCTAGTATTACAGGCATGAGCCACTGTGCTTGGATTTATTCGTAATTTTATTGACATACTGCTACTAAAAGGCTGCACAGATCTTAGGTGTATATTGGATGAGTTTTGAATAGAGTAACATATGCACCTGATTCCAACATGAAATGAGCATTGCATGTTTTAGAAAGTTCCCTCATGTCCTTTCCATTGTATTTCCTCACCCTCTGCCTGTGCTCCACCTTGCTTCTGGAAGCCAGTCTTTTGATTTCTATAGTTTTATCTGTTCTTTTTTTTTTTTCCTTTTTTGAGACAGAGTCTCACTTTTTGCCTCGGTAGAGTGCCATGGTCAGCCTAGCTCACAGCAACCTCAAACTCCTGGGCTCAAGTGATCTTTCTGCCTCAGCCTCCCGAGTAGCTGGATACAGGCATGTGCCACCATACCCGGCTAATTTTCTATATATATTAGTGCCATTAATTTCTTTCTATTTATAGTAGAGACGGGGTCTTGCTCTTGCTCAGGTTGGTTTTGAACTCCTGACCTTGAGCAATCTGCCACCTTGGCCTCCCATAGTGCTAGCGATTACAGGCATGAGCCACCACGCCTGCCTTTGTCTTCTTAACTTCATAAAAATGGAATCATATGATATATACCCTTTTGTGTTGCTTCTTTTCACTCAGTATATGTTGCTGAAATTCATCCATGTTTTGCATCTGTCAGTGGTTTGCTCCTTTTTATTGCATGTATATTTTCTATATAATCATAATTCAGTTTTATTCTAATCTCTTGTTGATTGACTTTTGGGCTTGGTTTTAATTTGTATTTTTTGATGACTAAGGTTAAGATATTTTCAAATGTTGATTTACTATTGTATGTCTTTCGTGAAGTATCTATTCATGTTTTTACCCTTTTGAAAATAAATTTTATGGAGTATTAATTTACATTAAATTACATTCATCCATTTTAAGTATTTTGTGGGTTTTGACAAATATATATACTTTGCAACCACCACCGTAATAAAGATGTGTGTGAGAGAGAGAGAGAGAGCAAGAGGGAGAGAGATAATTTGTGCAGTCATATCTTGGAGATATTTTGGGTTTGGTTCCAGACCACTGCAATAAAGCAAATATTGCAGTAAAATGATTGACATGATTTTTTTATTTGTTAGTACATATATAAGTTATGTTTATACTATACTATAATCTATTAAGTGTGCAATAGCATTATATCTAATAAAAATGTACATGCCTTAATTAAAAATACTTTATTGCTAATGATCATCAGAACACCTTCTGTGAGTCATTATCTTTTTGCTGCTGGAGAGTCTTGCCTCAAACTGGATGGCTGCTGACTTATTAGGGAGGTAGTTGCTGCAGGATGGGGTAGCTATGATAATTTCTTAAAATAAGACAACAATGAAGTTTGCCATATCAATTGACTCTTCATGAAAGATTTCTCTGTAGTGTGCAATGCTATTTGATACCATTTCTTCCCACAGTTGAACTACTTTCAAAATTGAAATCAATTCTCTCAAACCCTGCCACTGTTTTATCAACTAAGTTTACATAGCATTCTAAATCCTTTGCTGTCATTTCGATAGTGTTCACAGCATCTTTGCCAAGAGTAGATTCTGTCTGAAGAATCTACTTTCTTTGCTCCATAAAAAGCAGCTCTTCCTCTGTTCAAGTTTTGTCATGAGATTGCAGCAGTCAGTCACATCTTCAGGCTACACTTTTTTTTTTTTTTTTTTTTTGAGACGGGGTCTTGCTCTGTTACCCAGGCTAGGGTGTAGTGGCATCAGCATAGCTCACTGCAACCTGAAACTCTTGGGCTCTAGCGTTCCTCTTGCCTCAGCCTTATGAGCTGGGACTATAGGCATGTGCCACCATGCCCAGCTAATTTTTCTATTTTGTTTGTAAAGGTGGGTTTTGCTTGTACTCTGGCTGGTTTCAAACTCCTGGCCTCAAGTGATCCTCCTGACTCAGCCTCCCAAAGTTCTAGGATTACAGGTGTGAGCCACCACACCCAGCCCAGTCTCCATTTCTTTTTTTTTTTTTTTTTTTTGAGACAGAGTCTCACTTTGTTGTCCAGGCTAGAGTGAGTGCATGGTGTCAGCCTAGCTCAAAGCAACCTCAAACTCCTAGGCTCAAGCGATCCTTCTGCCTCAGCCTCCCGAGTAGCTGGGACTACAGGCATGTGTGACCATGCCCAGCTAATTTTTTCTATATATATTAGGTGGCCAATTAATTTCTTTCTATTTATAGTAGAGATGGGGTCTCGCTCTTGTTCAGGCTGGTTTCGAACTCCTGACCTCAAGCAATCCACCTGCCTTGGCCTCCCAGAGTGCTAGGATTACAGGTGTGAGCCACCGCGCCTGGCCTCCATTTCTAATTCTTGTTCTCTTGGCTGTTTCCACCACATCTGCAGTACTTTCTCCACTGAAATCTTGAACCCTTCCAAATCACCCATGAGGTTTGGAATCAACTTCTTCCAAACTCCTATTAATGTTGCTATTTTGACCTCTACCGATGAATTGCAAATGTTCTTAATGGCATCTGCAATGGTGAATCCTTTCTAGAAGGTTTTCAATTTACTTTGCCCAGATCTATCAGAGGAATCTTTGTATGGTAGCTATGGCTTTATGAAATGTACTTATCAAATAATGAGACCTGAAAGTTGAAATTACTATATCCATGAGCTGCAGAGTGGATGTTGTGTTAACAGTCTTGAAAACAGCATTATTAATCTTATTGTACATATTCATCAGAGTTTTTTTTTCTTTTTCTTGTTATTTCTGCATGAAAAATCATCAGAGCTTTTGAATGACTAGGTGCATTATCAATAAAAAATGAGCAGTAATATTTTGAATAATTTTTTTCTGAGCAGTTCTATTTTTTTTAATTTTAATTTTTTTTGAGACAGTGTCTCACTTTTTGCCTGATCTAGAGTGCTGTGGCATCAGCCTAGCTCACAACAACCTCAAACTCCTGGGCTCAGGCAATCGTTCTGCCTCAGCCTCCCCAGTAGCTGCCACCATGCCCAGCTAATTTTTTCTATATATTTTTAGTTGACCGATTAATTTCTTTCTATTTTTAGCAGAGACGGAGTCTCACTCTTGCTCAGAGCTGTTTTTGAACTCCTGACCTTGAGCTATCGGCCTGCCTTGGCCTCCCAGAGTGCTAGGATTATAGGCATGAGCCACTGGGCCTGGCCTGAGCAGTTGTTCTTTAAGGTGGGCATTCAGTAAACCATGCTGTAAACACATGTGCTGGCATCCAGGCTTTGTTGTTCCATTTCTAGAGCACAGGCAGACTAAATTTAGCATAATTCTTAAGGGCCCTCAGATTTTTAGACTGATAAATGGACATTGACTTCAATTTAAAGTCACCAGCTGCATTAGCCCCGAGAGTCACCTGCCCTTTGAAGCTAGACATTGATTTCTCCGCTCTAGCTGTGAAAGTCCTCGATAGTATCTTCTAATAGAAGGCTGTTTCATCTACACTGAAAATCTAGTGTAGCCTTCTTCATTAATGATATTAGCTAGATCTTGCTGTAGCGTCTATGTCAGAACTTGCTCCTTCACCTAGCACTTTATATTATAGAGATGGCTTCTTTCTTCAAAGTTTATGAAACAGCCTCTGCTAGCTTCCTTATCTCTCTCATCCTTCATAGAATGAAGAGAGTTAGGACCTTGCTATGGATTCAGCTGTGGATTAAGAGAATGTTGTAGCTGGTTTGATCTTCTATCCAGATCACTAAAACTTTCTTCCCATCAGCAATAAGGCTATTTTGCTTTCTTATTCGTGTCATGTGTTCACTGGAGTAGCACTTTTAATTTCTTTCAAGAACTTTTCCTTTGCATTCACAAGTTGGCTGACTGGTGCAAAAGGCCTAGCTTTCAGCCTATCTCATGCCTTCCTTACTAATAGTAATCATGTCTACCTTTTGATTTAAAATGAGACACCTTCATGCCTGTAATCCTACCATTCTGGGAGGCCGA